GGCCCAGAGAAGTTGATGATGCAAATCAATTAAGATTTCTAAAGGACATAAGCCCAGATTCTCAAAGATATTTAAGTGCCTAACTCCCATTGAGGTGGGCAACAGAGACTATTAATTCTTTATTATTTTAACACCCGCTGGAGCCTGGTCTTGCATTACTTCTGTATCCAAAACTTCCAATGAACTTGGGTGAGATTTAGATTATTATTATTTATTTGTGCTGCAGTATCTCCTAAAGGCCTCAACCCCATTGTGCTAGGCACTATACAAACACACAATGCATAACTAAAGCAGGGTTGGGTTCATGATGAGCAACAATTTTGCAACATATCAGAATATATAAGGTGCCTGTTTTCCATTGATGCATGGGAAATGGTGAAGACATAAAATTTCATTAATAGGAGTTATCTACAGTAGACTCATGCATCAGCAGAAAAACAGACAGCTTTGACTTCTTCATGCTATCAACTATGAAAATGAATTATCAGGAAGTCGGGGAGGGAAACCGCCCCAGCTCTGAGATCTGTGAAATATAAAATAATTAACATTGACTATATGTTACATGTGCGCGTGCATGACATTCTGGAAACATGATGTAAAATTAATCTCCAAATGCTTTATTAACCACTTTGTATTGTGTTTTCTATTTCTTTACTAGGTACTGAGACTTGACACTTTACCACATCTCTCTGTATGATTGCAAAAAACAAAAATTAAGTCCTGTAATTCAAACTGAAAGTTTAAAAAAATATATAAAAAATAGAAAGATTTTATCAGTTTGCAGTATCTGTAGTTCAAGATTATGTGATCCTTCTTACTGACACACTGAATTACGGGAAAGATGGTGTCTACACCACTATAAATCAGACATCTGCAAATCCCAAGCTCATCTTCTGATGGAAAATGGAAGATTTAAACATGCAGTAAAAACAGGCGAGACATATTGATCAAAGAACACTCTGCAACATCCATCACACAGTATAAAACAGGAGGAAATAACAATTCCACATGAACACAAACATTTTGGTGATTTAATGGATTCACAAAAAACTGTTCCAGGCAATGTCCCAAATAAAGACTTAAATCTGGATACAAGCATGTTCTTGGCACAATTTGATTAATAAACACTACCATTTCTGACAAACTCTTACTTCCATGAGTAGTAGCCTCACTGTTTTCAATAATGTTATTCACATGAAGAAAGGTTTGCAAGATTGAGTCCTTTGGTATCCACAGCATCAAAAGAAAACTGTATTCTTCACTCATGAGGAATGGGGGATCTTCTTTCAAAACACGGACATAAATATCACAGTAAGTCTCTAAAATCATTATTTAAAAAATCTTTAATATATGTATTGCCTGTTCATCCCTGAGATACTGCCCTTAAATGTTGTAAATCAGCTATTTCAGAAACTGAAGAAAAATTGAACCAAATACTACTCAGTAGAAAATGTATTGACTAAAATTTTCTTTAGATTTCAGTCACTAACTATACACAGAGAAAGAAAATCACAGTGCCTCATTAGCGGACTAAGACAAGACTTGAAATGTATTACAGTGATACCATTCACAATACTGCACTTAAAAATCTCTCTGGCTTATTATAGACCAAAAAAAATTTGATCATATACCCAGTCAGTTCAAGGGGAGTTTCAAAGGCAACCTCAATAGCAGCAGAGTAGGGGCCAAGAATATTCAAAGCATTATAATTCTGCATTAAAAATCTCCATAGGATAAAATTTCCAAGCAATTCCTTAGTGCAGGAGGAGGCTTATGTATAAAATATAAAGGGGGAAATGTCAGTTGTAGTTTTCCTGATGAGTTTTTTTGTTTTGTTGGTTTTACCAGGTTAGTTTTTGCATCTGTTTTGCATCTATGACAGCAAAATAAAAAAATTATGCTTTATGAGGACAATTTTTCTTTTAATACCAAAACTTGTGATTCAAAAACCTAAAAAAGTCATGAAATCTAAAACCAGGCCATTTCAAGCCATTACATTTTAATAAAAACTCTCCATCGACTTCAGTGGGGTTCTGCTTATCACTTGATGGCACACTATTTCCCATTTTTTTTTACATGAAAATGCCAATTATTGAAAAACACCACACTTACAGGCAGACAGGATCTCTTAACCTGACAGGGTGATTTTTCTTGTTGTGATTTGAGTTCTGTATAAATAACGGTTGGTGAACTTTTTTGTTTAAAGAAGGTCATGCATGAGGTCAGTCTCAAAAGATGATCAAAACAATCAACCTTATCTCTGATGCATTAATAAGTAAAATGAGCCAGTGGTATAAGCACAGGCTTAAAAATAGACACTCCTGAGTACTAATTCTGGTCCTGATGCTCACCTCTCTGCCTAAGTTTCCCAGTCGGTAAAATGGAGATAAAAAAAATTTCATATACCTAACAGGTTTCATATGAAGATTAACTAGTTACTGTTCTAACACTACAATACATATTGTTATTAAGTGAAGGGTGAATTTGTTAAAGCAAGATGTCACTGTTAATTTTTGTCTCATTAAGAACAACTGCTCCTTACCATCTATCTAATGGCTGTTTCATAGCCTATTTGGAAGGAGTTAATGGCATAATACGGGAAAGAATTAACATAAAAAATATCACCACAGTTACTAATTGGTATGCTTATTGGCAGCCTCAGCAAAGATGCCAAAGAATGAACAGGCAAGGAAAATAAATTAATCTCTATTCCCTAGACGTGGTTCCACCATGTCAGGGTTGAGGCACATTGGTGGAGTCATCATCAAGCTTGCTCTGCCACAACACATGCTATACCTTTGCATAAAGATAGGATTTCTGAGCATGGTTCTGATCTCCTAGGCCTGGTCCACACTAACCCCCCACTTCGAACTAAGATACGCAACTTCAGCTACGTTAATAACGTAGCTGAAGTCGAAGTACCTTAGTTCGAACTTACCGCGGGTCCAGACGCGGCAGGCAGGCTCCCCCGTCAACTCCGCGTACTCCTCTCGCGGAGCAGGAGTACCGGTGTCGACGGCGAGCACTTCCGGGATCAATCCGGGATCGATTTATCCTATCTAGACAAGACGCGATAAATTGATCCCAGAAGATCGACTGCTTACCGCCGGACCCGGAGGTAAGTATAGACGTACCCTTAGTGTAAACCAACAATGGCAGTGGGGTTACACCAGTGTGAAAACAGTCTTGTGATCAGAATCAGGCTTTTCAGTTTCCAGTGATGTAATTTTATCAGCACTTGGTTCACTTTAAAAAGTGAAAATAGTCACTAATATTGGCACTGTTGTTCTGGGTCTCCAGCTTGCAATGTTTACACATTAATAACATCTTTGTTTATAATATGTGACAAGACATTAGATGAAATGCCCACAATCCCATTGGTATAACCAACATTTTCATTATGTCTGTGAAAATCTCTTCCTAAAAAAAACTCTCCAGGGTTCCTATTATGGAGACTGTCTTGGATCACCAGAAGCTGCAGTTAGTCCTGGTAATATTGTATCATGTAAGACTAATACAAGCTGGCACTCTTAAAGGCAAATACTGAATCCTGTTAAATTCTAATGATAACCAGCAGAAATTTGTCTATAAGATAACACTGTGGGAAGCAGTAGCAAAAAGAACACTGAGCAGTTCTAATTAAAAAGCCCTAGCAACCTGAGCAAACATATATATATATATATATATATATATACACACACTAGTGATACATGTAGTGTTACCCTCCTTCTGTGAAAGTTTACTGTAATTCACATTAACTAACATTGTATAAAACATTTTAGATCTGGAATCAATCTTTTTTCTTCAGCTATTAAAACTTGTTTTCTCCTATGCAGAAATACACAAAGATTTTTCCACCCTATTATTTCATAAGTGCTACCATCTCATAAGAAGTTAATACGTTCGGTCACTCATGGAAAAATACAAGCAGGTAAATGAAAAAATTAAAAGATAGATTTTATAAAAATCAGCATGTTTTGAACCCAGGGAGTTAGATAATTAACTTTCTGAACCAACCACTATTGTTATTCTTTTAAAATCATGGAAAGTACAAGAAGTTTGCAAAAAATATGATCATTAAAGTGAAAAAAACAAAACAACAAAAAACAGAAACCTAGACTACTCCACCCTGAAACAATCAAGCAGAGGTGGTGGGGGGAGGTCACGTGCTTGCCCAGATTTCTGCCAGGGTTTATATATTTATATTTTTCCAGGGGAGTGGGTTCAGAATTGTGCCCCTCCACCCCCAACAGTTACCTGTGGCTTCTGCAATCATGTCAGTTTCCAGAGGCAAATCTCATTTCGGTCATTAGTAAAATAATGGATCAATCAGAGAGAAAGGAAAGGATACCAGAACCATAAATAGTAAACATCTCCAAACAGTGAGATCTATTGGGCCGTGGCGCACTCTCTCAAGAGAAGTCCCCAGACTTCACTAATGTGAAACAGGGTGAGCAAATCAGACCACGGGGAACAATACACAAGAACTGTGTTTATGCAATAGTGTCCCCCCAACAGTCGTTTATCTCAGCGATCCCTTTCCCGTTTGCAGGCATACTTTCAGTACAGCGTGGAGCACTGGTTCATGCTGGACGTTTCCATTCATTTTCACACAGCTAGAAACCTGCGTGCAAGATGGGGCGTCGGGGTGCCGCAGAGAGCAGCGTTAGGTGACCGCCCAACCCGAGCACTCGAGCCTACTATGAACAGGAGCAGACTCCAGCGAGGCCAGAGCCATGACAGGAGGGGGACCCAGACCCCTTCCCGTCAAAGAGGGGGCGTGGCAGCCAACGCCTCCCCATCCCTCTTCCCGCCTTCCCCTGTTCCACCCCCTCCCTTCTCCTCACGTAGCCCCAGCACCGTAACCCTCACTGCGCCAAACACGCTCCCCTGCGCATGCTCAACCGGCGCCACCCGAGAATCGTTAGGGCGCATGCTCAGTCACTCGACGGTCTCGGGGACAGCCGGAACCGCCGCTGCGCATGCCCCGTTCCGCTTGATCCGGAAGTGGTTCTTTTGTTTCGTGACACGTCGCACCGGAGGAGGGTGAGGGGCGGCAGCCGGGGGGATTCTCTCAGCGCTGCGAGGAGGGGTTGCCAGGTGAGGTTGCGGCAAGGTAGGGGCCGCTAGTTCCCTGTCCTTCCGCGGGGCCGCTCCCCTGACCGCAAGCGGACACCAACGGTGAGCCCCTTCCCCAGCCCAACCCATTCCCCCCCGGGGCTCAACGCACCCCGTCCCGCGGCTCTCCCAGGGCTCCTCACAACAGCTCCGAGCCCCTGCCCCCCAGCAGGAGAGTGAGTCGGGGTCCCTGCTTTCCAGAGGGGGAAACTGAGGCACAGAGGCGTGAGCTGATTGGCCCCAGGTTACTGGGAGACAGTAGCAGGAATTGGGGTGTACGGATGGGGCCGTGAACGTGCTGTGTGGGCAACACACATTTTGTTGTTACTTAAAGCTGCGCCTCGTACTTGTAATGTTGAAAACGCAGCGAGGTTTGTGGTGTAGCTCCCTGGCTGCATAGCGCCTGTTGTTGCTTGGACCGTTTGTTAACACATCTCCATTGTAACTTTTAATCATACCGGTGACACATTTAACTTATGTATTAGTATGGAAGGAAACACTATATCCATTATAATCTACATCTTTTGATCTCTTACAGCGCTGTAAAATGTTATACATTTACACACACAGATGTAGACACCATATTTAAAGTATTACATATATCAGAGGGGTAGCCGTGTTAGTCTGTATCCACAAAAACAACGAGGAGTCTGCCATATCAACAATTTATTAGAGTTGTATGACAGCCAGAGGCCAAAGTAACCTTTTGTGACTCATACAAGCTTTGATGTTCTTATTTTACAGATAATTTGCAATGTCTGGGTTTGACAACTTCAATACAGATTTCTACCAAACAAGTTATAGCATTGATGACCAGACACATTCCTATGATTACAGTGGAAGTGGAGAACCATACAATAAGTAATTTGTACATTTTTTTTCCATTCTCTAACTTGTATAGTATTCGTTTATCCTGTCTGTGATTGCATTTCTTTACATCTCTAACACTTAAACACACACTAACAACAAAACTGTTCTAGATAAGAATTGCCATACTGGGTTAGACCAGTGGTCCATCTAGTCCAGTAACCTGTCTTCTGACAGTGACCAATGCCCAGTGCTTCAGCGGAAATGAACAGAGTAGCAATTATCGAGTAATCCATCCCCTGCCATCCTCTCCCAGTTTCTGGAAGTCAGAGGCTAGGAACACCCAAAGCATGGGGTTGTGGCCCTAACCATCTTGGCTAATACCCATTGATGTACCTATCCTCTGTGAACTTATCTAATTCTTTTTTGAACTCAGTTATAGTTTTGACCTTCACAACATCCCCTGGCAACAAGTTCCACAGGTTGACTGTGCGTTGTATGAAGAACAACTTCCTTTTGTTTTAAACCTGCTGCCTATTAATTACATTGGGTGACCCCTGGTTCTTGTGTTGTGTAGGAGTAAATAACACTTCCTTATTCACTTTCTTCACACCATTCATGATTTTATAGACCTCTATCATATCCGCCCTTAGTCATCTCTTTTCCAAGTTGAAAAGTCCCCATCTCCTTAATCGCTTCTCATATGGAAGCTGTTCCATATCCTTAATCATTTTTGTTATCCTTCTCTGCACCTTTTCCAATTCTAAAATATGTTTTTTGAGATAGGGTGATCAGAGCTGCACACAGTATTCAAGATATGGCTGTACCATGGATTTATATAGTGGCATTATGATATTTTCTGCTTATTGCTCCCTTTCCAAATGGTTCCTAACATTCTGTTAGCTTTTTTTGACTGTCACTGTACATTGATCAGATGTTTTCAAAGAATGGGGGGAAGCAGTAGATGTGGTATTTCTTGACTTTAGTAAAGCTTTTCATACTGTCTTGCATGAGCTTCTCATAAACAAACTAGGGAAATATAACCTAGATGGAGCTACTATAAGGTGGTTGCAGAACTGGTTGGAAAACCATTCCCAGAGAGAATTTATTAGTGGTTTACAGGCAAGCTGGAAGGGCTTATCGAGTGGGATCCCACAGGGATCAGTTCTGGGTCCGGTTCTGTTCAATATCTTCATCAATGATTTATATAATGGCATAGAGAATACACTTATAAAGTTTGCAGCTGATACCAAGATGGGAAGGGTTGCAAGTGCTTTGGAGGATAGGATTACAATTCAAAATGATCTGGACAAATGGTCTGAAGTAAATAGGATGAAATTCAATAAGGACAAATGCAAAGTACTCCACCTAGGAAGGAACAATCAGTTGCACACATGCAAAATGAGAAATGACTGCCTAGGAAGGAGTATTGCAGAAAGGGATCTGGGAATCATAATGGATCACAAGCTAAATAGAAGACAACAGTGTAACACTGTTGCAAAAAAACAAATATCATTCTGGGATGTATTAGCAGGAGTGTTGTAATAAAGACACGAGAAGTAATTCTTCCGCTCTACTCCCCTAAATGTCAGGGTAGTTAAGCACTGGAATAAAGTGCCTAGGAGGTTGTAGAATCTGTCTGGAGATTTTTAAGAACACCTGTCAGGTATGGTCTAGATAATACGCAGTCCTGCCTTAAAGTGCAGAGGACTGGACTAGAAGACCTCTCAAGATCCCTTTTAGTCCTACAGTTCTATGATTCTATGAAGTAGCAACAATGACTCTAAGATCTTTTTTTTTTTTTTTTGAGTGGTAACAGCTAATTTAAAGCCCATTATTTTGTATATATAGTTGGGATTATGTTTTCCACTGTGCATTTGTCAATAGTGAATTTCATCTGCCATTTTGTTGTCCAGTTATCCAGTTTTGTCAGATCCCTTTGTAACTCTTCATAACCTGCTTTGGATTTAACAATTTTGAATAATTGTGTATCATCTGTAAATTACGCCACCTCACTGTTTACCCCTTTTTCCAAATCATTTATGAATATGTTAAACAGCACTGGTCCCAGTACAGATCCCTGGGGGACAGTCCTATTTACCACTCTCCATTCTGAAAACTGATAAATGTATTCCTACCCTATGTTTCCTGTCTTTTAACCAGTTACTGATCCATGAGAGGACCTTCCCTCTTATCCCATGAATGCTTACTTTGCTCAAGAGCCTTTGGTGAGGGATCTTGTCAAAGGCTTTCTGAAAGTCCAAGTGCACTATATCCACTGGATCACCCGTGTCCACATATTTGTTGACCCCCTCCCTCAAAAAATTCTAATAGATTGATGAGACATGATTTCTCTGTACAAAAAGCCACATTGACTCTTCACCGACAAATCGTGTTCATCTATGTGAGAAGGCATGTAGGCTTAGAAAGGGGAATTTCTGTGTGGGTGGGGGAAAGCAGGTAGGGAAGAGGTAGGGGACAAAGAGCAGGAGGGTCCAGAGGATCACAGTGCTGCAGAGGTGTCTGAGTTTTCCTTCCATAGGGGTGGAAAAGGAGATTTGCTTGTGGAGGGTCCCTTCTGGGCGTGGGTTTTGAGCAGATGGAGAAAGGGAAAATACAGACCATTGTAATGAAGTTATTCATTTTTTCTTAAATGTCTCTCTACAGTCTTGGCAGTTTCCTTCATTGATGTGCAGAAAGAACTTATTAGCATTAAATTATACAATGTACTTACACTTACATGAGTGGAGAAAAGAGAACTATTGAAGAACAACACTGTATTAGATATACAATATAATAATATTTTTATGTAACATCTATAAGAGGAGGTTTCTCAGAAGTGATTAGGTACCCCTCTGGGTGTCACAGTAGTGATTCTTTACTGGTGAAATTTTGCAGTACTAGTTTCAGGCTACCTGTGAGATAGTAGAGTGTTAAAATCTTTTTATTTTGAAGTGTGTGGGCGCAACCACACAGTTCAAACAGCTTGTATTCAAAAGTCTTCTGTGACCAGAGTTTGAGAAAATTTGAGTTAGAAACTGAAATATTACTAAGGTTGTCATCTGCATCAGGTCATGATGGTAGATGTCATAATGTGTGCTTACTCTCTGAATGTCATAATCCTCATCACATGTATGCTAAGAGTGGTGTCTGATACAATTGTTATATGGGAAGGGGGAAGATAGTCAATTTGACCAGGCTGTCTTAACTCTATGAAAATATCATATGGGAAGCTTAAACAATATGAAGACTTGGGATCTCCTTTCAAGATAGAGCTCTGTTAAATATAGGATTTAATACTGAGTATAAATTCATGCTGTCATTTGATAAATTATAGGAATCAGATATACAACTGAAGGGGCTATATTTGAATTGACAGATACCTTTTGCTAGTTTTCTGTAGGCCCAATCTTGTCATATTTTCAAATTAAATGGGCTTGGATTAGTTTTGGCCTGAAAATGCTACTACACTTCTACCCCGGTACAACGTGACCCGATATAACACGGGTTCGCATACAATGTGGTAAAGCAGCGCTCCGGCGGATCAGTGCGTCAGCTCCCAGCCGCGGCGCTCCACTTCCCGCCGCTGGTGAGTGCGGGGAGGTTGGGAAAAGGATGCCCCCCGTACTCACCTGCGGCAGGAAGCGGAGTGCCGCGGCTGGGAGCTGGCGGAGTGGAGCGGGCTGGGGCCGGGCTGCTCCGCTTCCCGCCGCTGCCGGTGAGTGTCTGTCAGGGGGCGGGGCGGGGGGGGTGGATAGAGGTCAGGGCAGTCAGGGAGCAGGGGGGTTGGGTAGGGGGTGGAGTCCTGGGGGTGATTAGGGACGGGGGTCTCTGGAGGGGACAGTTAGGGGACAAGGAGCAGGGGGGCCAAAGCAAGTTCAATATAACGTGGTCTCACCTATAGCGCGGTGAGATTTTTTTTGGCTCCGGAGGACTGCGTTATATCGGGGTAGAGGTGTACTTGTAGGCTTCTAAATTTTTTATCACTATGTGATATCTGATGGTAAAAAGGTGTAAAATCTTATAAGCTAAGCAAGATTTGACCGGATTACTTAAATTAGAGACCTGGAGATAAGGAGTCCATAAACCCATATACCTTTTCAAGTCACACTTTACTCCTTGTGGTGGGTTGGGGTGAGTGCATCTGTGCAGCTACACATTTAGGGTGGGAGGAGCAATTAACTTCACTTAAAAAATTAGCTAAACAAGATTGTATATTGTATATTAAGTTGTTATCGAAAGAGTGTCTTATGTGACTGGGGAAAGGTTTAAAAAAAAAATCTGTGCCTGCCAATAATATTATGTTGTTCTCTACAGACAATATAGTGGTTATGACTACTCTCAGCAAAGTGGATTTGTCCCTCCAGAGATGATGCAGCAACAGCAGCCTTACACAGGGCAGATTTACCAGCCAACACAAACATACACTCCAACTACAGCACAGTCTTTCTATGGAAGCAATTTTGAGGATGAGCCACCCTTACTAGAAGGTATAACTTGTTCTTTACTACTCATCTCCAAAACTGCCCCTAACTTGGGGGTAATCTGAGAAGTAAGGAATGTACTCTCTAGTTAACTTACTTCTAATTTTTTTTTTTTTTTTGCCTCTGTCATGCCTGCCTCTGAGTTCCCCTGCCAATTTCTCACTTTACAGTCACATTATCTTTATTTCTCTCCCCTATTGGTCTGTGAAAGTCACACAAATTAAATGGGAAATTGACTGTACATGACATTGTCAAATGTGGGAATAAAAGCACAGATTTTTTTCCTTAGTCTGTTATAATAGGTGTTGTTTGCAACAACAAAAGGTTACTTTTTTTTTTAAATTGATAGTGCCTCTTTAATTATAAATAACTGACTTTTTGGTGTTTAGAACCCAAATTCTAATTTGAGGAAGGGAGTAATAAAGATGTAGGATATGTCCTACATAGAATACAAGGTGCCGGAATTGATAGATATTGAGAATATTTGGACTGATGGCTGGATTTTTCACCTTCTCTATACATTGTTATGCTGTCAGTCAGAGTTTATGACAAATTACCTTTCCTGTTACTAATGACAAGGGAAGTATACTTTGGATGGAAGCAGATCATGTACATTCTATTACTAAGCAAAATTCGTTTACTAATCTACATAGTGTCCCACTCCTTGAGTTGGTAAATCAAAGCTGTACAATGCAGAGGATCAGTCTTAGAAGTAATCCTGTCATTGGGTCTGCCCAAGGAGATCTGATTGCAGAATCTGGGCCTTAGAGACTAGCAGTCCCTCACTCCTGAGTAGTTGAGAACTGGAGTGCCACAGAGACAGTGCGCTCAACCCCCTAAAGGAGAGATGGAATGTCTCCTATCATTCTTTGGTCATCTAAAGAACGGCACTTGAAAACCTTCATTGTCTTGCCTTCAGTCTGGAGCAGATTTGAAAGTGACGGGGCAGGAAAAAGAAATGGTGAAGAAAATGGGGGCAAAGGAGAAATAAAAAGGGAAACAAATCTGCATAATTCTTTTCATGTAACCTGTAGAATTAGGGATCAATTTCGACCACATCTGGCAGAAGACACTAACAGTGCTACACCCATTAAAAGTAGCAGATGGCAGCATCATGAATGAGACTGATTTGGCAGGACCAATGGTCTTCTGTCTTGCCTTTGGAGCCACGTTATTGCTGGTAAGATACAGATTGCAAAATATTAATGTGTTAATCATAGTCCAAAAACATTGAGAAAAGCTAAATTATCCTTGGGGGTCTCATAAGAATCTCCATGGCCTGGAAGTCACAAAACAGGCCTTGACCAAGGATTTGTGGTTCATTAGTACATGATTTTGGGCCTGATTCAAAGCCCCTTGATGGAAGTCTTTCCATTGTCCTCACCACGCTTTGGGTCAAGCCCTTCAAGCTCAGTATGTAATGTGCCATGTTGCTTTATGTAGTGACTTCTTCGCATATCTTGCTTTTGTGTAATATGGCTTCTATTGTCATGAAGACTGAGGACCATAGTCACAATTGGGGGCGGGCAATCAGATGACTCATTGTCCTTAGTTTTATAAAGTTAAATCTTCAATTTTAACCATATTTCAATTTCTTCTCCTTGTACAAATCAAGATGTCTTGTTTGATGTCAGAAACACGGTTTCAATAGAATGTAATTGTTTTATTTGCACAAAATGTTTTAATTTGGTTGCTTTATCTATGGTTTTGGCTCTTGATACATATTCCGTTTATACATTTAGTAGATTTTTCTATCATGCCAGTTTCTGATGCATTGAAATTTTACTTTGGGTTATTCTAGTATTTCTTTGTTCAGTATACTTAGGCATGGTCTACACTGGGGGCAGGGAGAGGGCTGATTGATCTAAGTTACGCAATTTCAACGTAGCTGAAGTCGATGTACTTAAATCTACTTACCATGGTGTCTTCACTGCGTTAAGTCAACGGCTGACATTTTCCCATCGACTCTGCCTGTGCCTCTCGCCTTGGTGGAGTACCGGAGTCGACAAGAGAGCGCTTGGCGGTTGATTTATCGCATCTAGACTAGACGCGATAAATCGACCCCCACTGGATCGATCGCTGCCCATCGATCCAGCGGGTAATGTAGAAAAGCCCTTGGTTTATTGTTGGTGGTGTTTTTAGCTGATTGTCTTTAAGAAAAAAATTACTAATAAAGCAGGTTCACAATTATCAATTACTTTTTAAAATTATATTGCTATGGTTGACATTAGACTTGGTGGACACCACCAACAATGTCAGCATTATTAGACATGATTTACCACCAAATCAGCAAAACAATAGCCAAAACTGTTAATGTTTGCTGATTGACCTATATGCTTCAATGGGAACAGTCCTGTGGTCTCCAATCTTTTTATGTCCAGGATCACTTTTTGAATTTAATGGTAACCCAGGATCTACCCCACCCCACTCACTCACTCTCCCCCACCCTCACTCACTTTCACCGGGTAGGGGGTTGGGGTTCAGGAGGGGGTGCAGGCTCTAGGCTGGGGCTGAGGGGTTTGCAATGTGGGAGAGGGTTCCGGATTGAGCCTGGGGCAGGGGGTTGGGATGCAGGAGGGGGTGAGGGGTGCAGGCTCTGGGAGGGAGTTTGTGTGCAGGAGGGGGCTCTGGTCTTGGGAAGAGTGTGGGGGTACAGGGTGCTGGCTCTTGGAGGGGGTCAGAGCTGGGGCAGGGGGTTGGGGTGCTTGCTCTATGAGGAGGCTCAGGATTGGGGTCAGCCTGTCGGCGGGTGGCACTTACCTTGGGCGGCTCCCAATCGGCGGCGCAATAAGGCTAGGGCAGGCTCACTGCCTACTCCTAGATGGGGCCAACATGCCCCTGTGGCCCCTGGGGGGGGATGTGGCTACACACGGTGCCCCTCTCTGCAAGCACCGCCCCCGCAGCTCCCATTGGCCACAGCTCCCCGTTCCTGGCCAATGGGACCTTCGGGGGCGGTGCTTGCAGGCAGGAGCAGCGCACGGTAGGAGACCCCTGCCCCCCTGCGGCCGGGCTGGCCGCTTCTGGGACAGGCAGGGTGCCTGCCTTAGCGGCAGCCTCACAACACCACCAGAGATCATGTTCGAATGGGAGATTCTCTAGGATCGACCAGTCAATCGCAATCGACTGGTTGGTGACCACTGCTATAGGTGTTTTGCCAATTAAACTTAATTGGAATAAGATTGACCTAAAGTTATTGCTTTTATCTACAGGGCTGAAAGCAAGCATAATCTTTCATCATTGGTATCAGTGAAGTATAAAGCAATATTTAGTTTTCTGAAGCTTAAATGATTTAGTATATGACGAAGTAGGAACAAGCCAACTTCCTTGTCATTGTACATTTCAGTATTTTTAATAAATTTCAACTTTGCATGCTTATTTTTAAGGAAAATGGGGCCCCTAGTATTGAGGGCCCTCGTATTGAGAGGAACACGTTCTCTCTGTAATGGACAGTTCATGAGGTGTAATTTTATCTTATGGATTTTCAAGTGTCTCCTTGACATGCTCAGCTACATTTTATTCAATCAGTCATCAGCAAGAATATTTTAGTTACTTAAACTTATCTATTAAGTTGCATTACCATTTGTTTTTATTTTGTAATATTAACCAATTTAAGACTCAGACTTTAAGGTCAGAAGGGACTGTTGTGATAGTCTAGTCCTGCACATTGCAGGCCCCAGAACCTCACCCACCCACCCACGCCTGTAATAGACCCCTAACCTCTGGCTGAGTCACTGAAGTCCTCGAATCATGGTTTAAAAATGTCGTTACAGAGAATTTACCATTTACACTAGTTTAAACCTGTAAGTAACTCATGCCCCATGCTGAAGGCAAAAAAAACCCAGGGTCTCTGCCAATCTGACCCAGGGGAAAATTCCTTCCCGACCCCAAATATGGCGATCAGTTAGACCCTGAGCATGTGGGCAAGACCCACCAGGGAAAGAATTCTCTGTAGGAACTCCGAGCCCTCCTGCTCTAGAGTGAAGAAAATAACCACTTGTATGTGTTACCAGTTTGAGAGTGAATTGAAAACTGATCTGAAAATGGTCATGTGTACTGTAGGCATAACAGGTAGGGTTAAGACAATAGGAAATACACTGAAATGAAAACAGCTGAGAACGTGGTATATGGGAGGATATTACAGTGGTGGGTATATCACTTAATAAAACCCAGGATTCTGTTTATTGAATGTCTTGAATTTTTTGCAATATCAGTCATTTGGCTGATACTGCCTCTGAACAGCACTGCTTTTGGGTCTAGAACTCAGCGTGTCATAGGGTACGTCTACACTTACCGGAGGGTCTGGCGGCAGGCAATCGATGTTCTGGGATCGATTTATCGCGTCTGCTTTAGACGCGATAAATCGATCCCGGAAGTGCTCGCCGTCGACGCCGGTACTCCAGCTCGGCGAGAGGAGTACGCGGCATCAACGAGGGAGCCTTCCTGCCGCGTCTGGACCCGCGGTAAGTTCGGACTAAGGTACTTCGAATTCAGCTACGTTATTAACGTAGCTGAATTTGCGTACCTTAGTCCGAAGTGGGGGGGTAGTGTAGACCAGGCCATAGCCTGCTTTTCCCAGATATCTCACTATGTCTCTATAGCACTCAATCATTTGGTACAGTTATTTTGCTCTGTCTAAAAATTAAAGAATGAAATCCCTGTGCTTTGAGCACTGTAGTTCAAACACTTTCCTATCTGCCAATCTAGTGCAGTCACGCAGCTCTGTCCATATTGGAGGCATTCTTAAGCCGTGTCTCCAAGTCATGCTGTGACAGGATACATACCTAAATATCATGGAATCAGATTTTTAAATAGTGTATTAACACTATTTTACAAGACCAAAAATAATTCTAGATAGGAAACAAAAAACTTGAAATATTTTATGATGATGAATTTACACTGTGCTATAGCTATGCATGGCACTTCACAAAAAACAATTTACCCCCTTGAGGCAAAAATCAAGAATCTGAATCATTGGTAGAGATGGAAAGAGTTATGTCACATGGAACATTTTTCAGTGCATTGCTAATTTACATTTTTTATTTAGTAGTTCATCATTGCCATAGTAAAGGTGCTGATAAAAAAACATTCAGATAATCTTCAGAGTAGGATCAATACGCAAATATAATGGAGTAAATCAAGCAGAGTTCATAAGATTTTGTAGCCCAACTAGAACTACGTTACATAAGCACACTAAGTTTGCAGCTGGTTAGATGCACCACTTTTTGTAATTGAAAACTGATATGGTAAATATGCCTTTTGGACATTTCAGTATACAAGTACTCTGTTTGGATTACTTGTGGGATGCCTTTCTTAATCCTCTTCATCTTTATCCCCTAAATTCTACTTCAGATTCATCACTAGGTCAAAGATTACCACAATCTTATACTCTCCTTATTATTTGTAAAATGCAGTATTTAGTCAACTTTAAGACAAAACATGTTTAACTTGTGTTACTCCTCTCATCTTTAGGTTGGTAAAATTCAGTTTGGGTATGTGTATGGAATTAGTGCAATTGGATGTTTAGGAATGTTTTGCCTGCTGAACTTAATGAGCATGACGGGCGTCTCATTTGGCTGTGTTGCTAGTGTCCTGGGATACTGTCTTCTTCCTATGATCCTGCTTTCCAGTTTTGCAGTTATATTTTCTTTGCAGTAAGTATCAATACTAACTATTTATAATAAAATCCTGCTTCCATATATTGCGGATTTTTCTCCCATTGCGGGGGAGTTCTGTTAGATGGAATTTATACTATATTAATAATTGATTTGTCAAATGAAGTAAATGCTTACACAGCATGAACACTTATTCACACTGTCCATTTTCAGTTATTACAAATTACTTTTAGATTCAAATTATACCGTGTTTCCCCGAAAGTAAGACATCCCCCGAAAATAAGACCTACTTCCAGTTTTGCCTCTCGCTGTAATATAAGGCATCCCCCCAAAAATAAGACCTCCCCGATAATAAGGCCACCCCGGAATATAAGGCCCCGAAGCTCCAGGAAAAATAAGACCTCCCCTGAAAATAAGACCTAGCGCATCTTTGGGAGCAAAAATTAATATAAGACACTGTCTTATTTTCGGGGAAACAGGGTAGCATACTTCAGACATATTTACTTGTCAAACAACTCAAACAAGTTGTATATCAGGATATAGAAAGCTAAAATAATTTAAGAAATATAGATTAAATTTTAATTAATGTTGAGTCTGGAAAACTAAGTTAAATGCCCAGCATAAAAGAAAATCACTAACTTCATTACTCATCACAGAAAGCTACTTGTACAGAAGTACAAAGGAACACCTTGTTTTGAGTTTACTCAGTTCTAAACCTTTTTGTACTTAGAACTTAATTTGTCTTTAACTAGTGTCATTCTAAAAGCTTTACTGAATAGTAATACTAATTTTATATTTACTGAAATTCCATGTACTTTTTATTTAAAAACCCTCAATGATAAAAACAATCAACCTTTGAAACATATTTAACTTACTAGAAAATATTCTAATTCCTGCATTCGTCTAAGCGCGCACACAGACACACACCTACCTTTTTAAACTGTTCTTTTCTTGTATGTTACAGGGGAATGATGGGAATTATTCTCACTGCTGGGATTATTGGATGGTGCAGTTTTTCTGCTTCCAAAATCTTCATTTCTGCCTTAGCAATGGAAGGACAACAGCTTCTAGTAGCATATCCCTGTGCTTTATTATATGGAGTCTTTGCTCTTATTTCTGTGTTTTGAACTGACTATTCTGATTACTGGACATCAGTGGGCCAAACTGAAAAAAAAAAATCAACTTGGAACACTTAATTGGACCAGCAAAGATCTACGTCGCTGCTATCATGCAAACTTAACTCTTGAATTGTCTGATGGAGCAATGGAAACAAACATGTCTCGTTCACTTTTATAGGACTCTTGAATACTGTTTGAATTGACCTGCAGTGTCTATAGCTTTAAGTTTTCATGCTTATACAGTTAAAAATGTAATGTTTCTTTACCATTTCTACAGCCTTTAGAAAAGTAACTTCGGGGAGTTTTGGGAGGGTTGGGGGCGGGAGAAGTGGGGTTGTAGTTATATTTGGTAGGTTCTTAATCAGCAAACGTAAATGAAACTACAGACATTGCAGTCTTTATTCAAAAAAAAAAAAAAAGAAAGAAAAAAAATCTTTGGCCAACCCAATTCCTGTCACCTCTATTGCAAAGAGTTTCTCAAGCAAGTTGAAAATTGCATATTTTCTGTATTTTAACAAATACTCTTTAAGCTGTTATTTATACAATGTGTTGGTATTTCAGAATTCAATGTGCAATTTAAATTGTTTAATTTGAAAACAAATCCTTTAGTCAAAAGTATACAAATAAATTTCAGACTTGAAATGTGAATGTGTTTAGATATTAGCATCAGTTTAAGTGGCTATACCTTATCTTGGGTTTATCAAGATTACTTGCAGGAGCTTGTTCTAATAATGCACATATTAATGGCTCAAGAGTAGACTTTTTTTTTTTTTTTTTTTTAAGTATTTACTTCCAGGGAAACCACCCCCACCATTTTGAAAAGCATATTAAAGTGTCATGGTTGTCAGTATTGCAGTTATTGTAAAGGTCATTTGATGCATATTGATTAAATTTTCCCCTAAATAATACTGAGATGGTACTGGAGTTGACTTTCTAACCCTCTTTCCGCTTTATGGTTTTGAATGACCATAACGACTAGAGAATTTCAGCTATTAAAGTGAAATTGGAACTTTCACATTGGAATGAACCACACTTAAATAAAACAGCAATACTCTTCCCTTCTTCTGGTTACTCTTTTGATATGTTTGAATTAGTTTTTTACTCTGTTTAATCTTGCAGTAAAAGCATAAACTTCTTTTTGGTGACAGTCAACTCTCAGACTCAGCATTGTCATAATTTCATGGAAAAAATAAGTAGGAAAGGGAAGATGGGTAGTGTTAGTTTATACACTTTTTGCTTAGTTTTAAAACATGCATGAAAGAAACCATTTGAATTTTGTTTTACACACTTGTGGTTACGAAATTCTTCTTTCTATGAGTAGAGTCTGGTTTAAAGATTCCAATCCTGTCCCTGTTTGGGAAATATTGGTGAAATGGTAAAAGCTCGTATCAAATACAAGTTCTTGGCTGAGATTTTGCTCTTATGGTGGTGTAAATCTAGAGTAACAGTTGACTGCATTGTCGTTACACTGCTTTAAAACTGGAGTAACTACCAGATAGTATAATCTACTTGTACAGTTTTAGAGTTGAATTGCCAATCAGATACGTGTAGTTTTAAATACTTTTTGATAGGACTAAAAGAGGGAAAATGACTTACCTTTCAACTAGTTCTTAATATTATAGAGAGAGGTTATAAAAATACTTTACATAATTTGAAATTGTGCATGTCTGGAAACTACAGTTCACTGCTTTGAGTAGCTGTTGTAAAAACTTGTGTAACTAAAATATTTTCTGGTATTCTTTCACTAGTCTTTGCACAATGACTAGGAAAGGGTCTTCCCAGAAGGACTGCTCTGTGTAAACATCAAGGCCAAGTTACTTATGTATTCCCTGGTGAGAAATATTAATACTACTCCATCTAACAAGTGAAGCTGTAATCTATTTTAATTTAAATGATTGTTCCACTTTTCCTTCTCCGCCCTAATAGTGTTTATGTTTCAACAGTTAATGCTCATGTGCCAAGGTAATGCAGTCATCCTGGAAATAACTTCTTGACAAACTGTCTGCACTTTTGAACCTTTTTTTTTTAAATTCAGTTGTTGAATCACAAGGGACGGTAAGTTCTATGTTTGCAATTGGCCTTATTTTAAAGGGAGATTTAACAAAGCAATCGGGTACTAAAAGCTACTGCCATTTTCAATGCAAGCTCTGATCATAACATTGCAAGTGTCTTCTTACTGTTGCATGGATGGTGAGTTTTAAAGGGACAGTACAAGAGACACTTGTCAACCCTTCTCCCACTTGTGGGAAAGTGAGTATAGGTACCCATCTCACAGTAACATCCGTGGAAGTTGGGCCTGCTCTTTAGAGATGCTGAACATCCCCATCTGCAAATCCCACAATGGGAACTGGATGCTCCCATATCCACAAAAAGTAAGGAGAGAATTTTATCCTTAACTGATCACATACTATTAATTCAGTGTGGCAGACTTCTCAAAATTGATTTGAAGTGTCATATAATACAGTATAGCTATATGGTATGAGCCATAGTAGATACTATATACACCTCTACCCCGATATAACGCTGTCCTTGGGAGCCAAAAAAAAATCTTATCGCATTATAAGTGAAACCGCATTATATCGAACTTGCTTTGATCCACCGGAGTGCGCAGCCCCGCCCTCCTCCCCCTCCCCCCCCCCGAGCGCTGCTTTACCATGTTATATCCGAATTCGTGTTATATCGGGTCGCGTTATATCAGGGTAGAGGTGTATATGCCTTAACTTTGAATTTCTTTTCATGAGAGTAGTTAAGATTGTTAACACAATCTTATCCTATCAGTGCCTTATTACAAATTATCCAAATCAATATTAGGAAAATCAGTTTTCTTTACTTTGTCATAAAGTTAAAAACATTTTACTCAATATTTTGTCGTTGGTTTTCATCATAGATGGAAATACCACAGCTGCCCCAGTGCACAAAGTTCCTACTCTGTTTAATGAAGAACATTATCTGCTGATGGAGCACAATGTCCTGTGTTTCTGCATGTAAATTAAAATGATTACCTTTTTAAATGAGAAGTAATGAATTACAGAACTGTTCCCCTAATAAATTTCAGAGCTCAAATACTTTGAGCACATTAGGTTCTAAAATTCATATTGCATTTTTGAGAACTAGACTAATTAGTCCTATCTTGAATATATAAATTGTTTAATGTTTGAAAACTAGCAGTAAATCTGCAGATAGCTGGCATGGTGATTAATTATGCATTAAACTGTTTTTAAATAGCTTTTCTGACACTGTGGCACAATAAGAAAATTAAGTGCAAAGAAAAACTCATTCATTTTTTTGTTCTAGTCTACTAGTTGTCTTTTCTTTTTATAGAAAGGGAAAACTTAAAAGCAATGGGAGAAAATATTTACAATTTCTATACCACATTTTTGTAGATTCATAAAACATAGGTTTTGACATTTAGAGGGACACTGTCAGAATAAAACTCCCCTCAAAAACTCTCTTACCAATAAAGCCTAATTCACTTTTTGCATTTTACTATGCTCAGACAGTGAAATTAGACTAGTTACATTCAATAGGTAGTTCCTGTGAACTAATACTAGCAAATTGTGGTATCAGGGTTCATGTTGCTACAGAAGTGAATTTTTAAAGTGTGTTAACTGAACATTTTTCAATTATAAATTCAGTTTTAAAAGCCACACTTAAATGTTGGGCCTAAATTAGTTTGACAGGCATTACTTTCATTGTCATGAATTTCCAAAAAAAGAGTAGGTAATATGACTCCATTGAGTTCATTTATCCAACTCTCCAAAATGAACTATGTTTCCCATAATCAGGTTCTCTGTCACCCCACCCCTGGATTCCTTCATATACCTTATCGTAAGGTATCTTTCACAAATATATAGGAATGCCATGTTCACACTAACATTTGAGGCCTAAATGTGGTTTTAGCTTATCACTTAATATCTAAACTTTTTTTTTTTTAATGTTTTCCCCATCTTTTCAAACTCAGACCTGGTCTACATTTCAAGGTTAGGTTGACAAAGTGCCTTGCATCACCCTACCTGTGGAAGTGGCTTCACTTAAATTTGGCATCTGCTGGCGTAAGTGCCTCTCTATGTTGATTTAGTAACACCACCTCCCCAAGCAGCATAGAGTCATGGTCAATGTAATTAGGTCGATGCATTGTCAGTGCATTGCTTACATCAACTGTTACTGGATTTCAGGAGCTGTCCTACAAAGCTCAGCACTGCCAATAAAATCAGTACAAGTGCTGCCAACACCAGGAGCCAAATGTTCACACACACAAGCGATTTAATAAGTGTGGTTATAGGTTACAGGTATGCTGATCAGCCACCTATGTGCGGTATTATGTGCACCAATATGACACCACCTCTATATTGGTGCGCATAACAAAATTTGTGGGGCAAAGGGGTTTGGTGTGTGGGAAGGGGCTCAGGCCTGGGGCAGAGGGTTGGAGTGCAAGGGAGTGAGGGCTCCAGCTGGGGGTATGGGCTCTGTGGTGGGGCCAGGGAGAGAGGATTCCCCTCAGCTTGCACTGTCCCTGCAGCACCACCTGGGCTGCGGGGGAGGGGCGACAACCCTCAGTTATATTACTTTTCTCTGGCTGGTCCATTTAAAAGTGATATTTTGTCAGCAACTTTGTTTTCAGGTCACTTGCTTTGAGGTACACCTCTACCTTGATATAACGCTGTCCTTGGGAGCCAAAAAATCTTACCACGTTATAGGTGAAACCGTGTTATATTGAACTTGCTTTGATCCACCGGAGTGCGCAGTCCCTCCTCCCCCCGAGCACTGCTTTACCGCATTATAGCCAAATTTGTGTTATATCGGGTGGCGTTATATCAAAGTAGCAGTGTACCTAGTGCCTGCAATTTGATTTGTTTCTATATGTAACAACTCTGGCAAGGGCTGAACTTCATGTTGTGCCCAATATAAAAACTATCTGTTCTGGATTTTGTCATTGCCTATAATTAACAAACATCTTCAGAACAAATGTTTTAATCTACCACTAATTGATTTGGAACTTTTAAATAAATAGAGGCAGCTGTTATTCCAGAGCCATTGCTAGGACATAATTCAGCTGTCAA